AAAAAAAAAAAAAAAATCTCTACGCATAAATCCACTTAGAATAATTTTTCCCCCTAAAGGATATATTATTGAAGTACAGGGCTTTATTGTTTATTCTACTGCAGACACCACAGGACACCATGTTCTTCAGGTTAGAACTGAGTACTTGAGAAACTATATGAATAATTGCTTGTTGAACTGTACATGTGAATTATCTCTATTTTCCAGCTAACGATTGAGCCTAAAATTATTAGTATTTTTGTAATTTTGAACCATGTGCATTTGAAGTTGGATTAGTGACAAAGTCTTATTCATTTTTCAAGTGTTAGTTCTGAGGGCTTCTCCCCAGCGTTGCTGCTAGATAATACTGCACCTTTGCGCTAACAAGTAAAAAGCTGATCCTCCGGGTTGATGTTGTCTCATGCCAGGGCTCTAGGCAGAATGGGCTGGAGTTCAGTCCCCAGCCATCTTCTTAGCAGGGCATTCTAGATGTTTAATCTTTTATGTTGACGTGTTGATATCACTTCCATTAGCCATTTGTTAGAATTACTAAATTAAATTTACATAATTCAAGGATCTAAAAAGACCAGAAGTTCAGTCAGAATCATTTTTCTGAGATATTTCTGCATTCCTCTGAAGAAGATAATTTGTTCAAACTTAACAAAAACAGGTGTTAAAATTGAGTAGGTTTTGAGAATACTCAGACTTTTTTTAGTCTCAAGCCCTACATGAAATACATTACAATCCCTTAAATCTTCCAATCTTAGAGCTAGAAGACAAGTTGAGCACCCTCACTTTACCCAGGGGCAATTTTGTGTCCCAGATGACAAAGCTCTTAGATCTACTCATTTGCTTACGGCTCCACCAGTACTTCTAGGTCAGGTCCTCTTTCACCTGAAGGATTAGCCATACTTCTGGAACCATTTTCCAGGTTCCTTGAAATAAATATCTTCGCTTTGCTGGGGACCCTAGTTTCCTGTTAAGTAGTGAATGACCCTTCTTTCCTCCCGCCAGCCACAGTCCTATTTCACAGAGGAAGAGAATGACCAGCAAAGTCAACTTCTACTACAGAGAAGTAGCAACTGATAAAAGGCCAAATCTTACAACGTGAAGAAAAAGACCCACTATCCTGCAGCCAACTCGTATCAAAAGTTAATCTATTTAGTCCTCTTTGCCGGGGCTAGTCTACAGTTTTTCTTTTTGTCTCCCTCTTACCACTCACTGCCTGCCCAATCACCAGGTGGTTGTCGTTGTCCTTCCCGGCTAGTTGCCAATAAAGTTGTTACAAAGTGACCTTGAGTATCTCCCTCGGTGCACCCGAAACCCCGCCTTCTTCATCCGGGTGCTGCGGCGCGAATAAGAGCTGGACCGCGCTTGCGCGCTCAGTCCCATTACTTCGACCTCTGCCGCCGCCGGTGCCGCAGCCACCTCTCGGGAAGGTAAGTGGAGGGCACAGGGAGCCCGGCCTGGTCAGGGCGGAGCGGCGCCCAATAGGGACCCATTCATTGTGCCGGCGCCTCACTGGGCACGGGGCCCAAACTGACGGCGTGCACGGGAGCCTGCGGGGCCTGGGTGGGAAGGACAGGCCCCTGGAGGGCACTTGACCTTAAGCCTCTTTGCCTCCGCAGAGAGGAAGAGGGAGAGGAGCCCACGTCACCTGTCACCCAGTATCTCCAGCCGCGCGGTCCCGAAGAGTGTAAGATGTTCGCCTGCGCCAAGCTCGCCTGCACGCCCGCTCTGGTGCGTAGCCCAGGCAGGGCCGGGGGGAATGAGGGCTGGGCCGCTTGTCCTGGAGCGTCCACGTTGTTGAATGGGGCAACCCTCGGGCGGGGCACACCGCCCTCCGGGAACGACTGTGTCCTCACCCATTAACCTATTGCCGTTTTCTTCCTTTCTTCCTAATCTTAGGGCATCTCAGCCTTCTCCTCGCCACTAGGGCGAGGCAGAGCAGCCGAGGCCTAGCTGTCAGGCCTCACTCGATGTAGGTCAAACTCTCCTGTCCTTAGACCGGAGCGGCCCTTTCCCCCACCTCCTCTCAGCTTCTCTGTTGGATTGGGGTCGACCGCGAAGCCTGGAGTACTGCAGAGGATGTAGGGGGCCGCTGAGGCCTAGTTCACCTCAGCAGCGCTTTCCAGTGCCTGTCTGTAGGTCAAACTCGTTTCTGCAGAGGGAGGGACTTTGCCTTTCCGTGTGGGGGCGGAAGAAGGTGGTGGGGGAACGAGCCCAGAGTCTTTCTTCCTGCCTCTGGAGTATTATTTTCATAACAATTTTGCAGGCTTTAAGTGAGTCTAAATCTGGAGGATTTGTCTTAGAGAATCAGATCTTGGTTCTGAAGGGTTTTTCTGTGACCTTAGTTTAGTAGACACTCAAGGGCAGAGAAGTTGGACTGGAATATGTCCTTATGGTCAGATATTTCACAGATTATTCTTAAACTGATGTAGAATTGCGTAAGTTCCTTTTTTAGACACCTTTTTTTTATGATTAATGGTCATATAGAAATATCTTTGAAATGGTCAGGGCTTATATTAACTGCTGGGCTATTTTGAGTGATGAATGTTTACAGTGACACTACTAATATACTTGTTGGTCCACTTAAAATTGCCAAAGAATGTGTGGTATTTATTGCTTTTTTCTGACTTGACTTATGGCGCTACAATAATGGAAATGTCAAAAGCATTTCTTACTCTCTTTGTAATTAATTGTTATTAGAAATTTTATTTAAGGTAGCAAGCTTTACAATTTCATTAGCATGAAACGTTATTAAAATTGCTTCATGTATTAAAAATGACCAAACAGCGAAGAGTCAATTCAGAAGTCTCTGATTCATTTTTACTGCTTGCTTTTTTAGAATTCATGGTACCAGAAAAGTCATTGAAATCTTACCTGTATTCTTTCTTAATATTGGAATTCTTTTTTTTTTTTTTTTTTTTTTATCATTAATAGATCCGAGCTGGATCCAGAGTTGCATACAGACCAATTTCTGCATCAGTGTTATCTCGACCAGAGGCTAGGACTGGAGAGGTAATAGTAGCAATAATTGAAATTAGGTAACACTACCAAGTAAGGGTAGGGTTTTGATTAGAGTGAAGGAAAAAAACTTTATTAATAAGAGTTTGAGGGCAATTCTTTTCCACCCTTTTATCCAAAAAACTAGATGAGCCAAGTAGAGAAATTTCTCTATCCAAAACTTGACCAAGAAATACTGTGGTACTTATATTCAAGTCTATCGATTTAAGTTGCCTATATTTAAAATTATAATAGCTACAGTTATTGAAAAATCTGCTCTATTGGGCTGGATGCGATGGCTCACACCTGTGTTCCTAGCACTGTGGGAGGCCAAGGCGGGAGGATTGCTTGACCCCAGGAGTTCGAGCCTATAGTGAGCTATGATCACACCACACTGTACTGCACTGCAGCCTGGGTGACAAACCAGGTGAGACCCTCTCTTTAAAAAAAAAAAAAACAAAAAACCCTACTCTAAAAGCATATTTATATATGTTGTTTCTTAATTTTCAACACGCTTTTAAGATGTAGATATTGTTATCCCTATTCTGCAAGAGTGAGATTATTCTAAGCTCTTGATTTGCCTCTTTACACTCAGCTACAAATAAAAAAGTAGTTATCATTTTGACAGTATGGTACTTAATTAAAATAGCTACCTGTGATTACTGATAGACCTTTACCTTTATTTTCTGTTTTCTAGGGCTCTACGGTATTTAATGGGGCCCAGAATGGTGTGTCTCAGCTAATCCAAAGGGAGTTTCAGACCAGTGCAATCAGCAGAGACATTGATACTGCTGCCAAATTTATTGGTGCAGGTGCTGCAACAGTAGGAGTGGCTGGTTCTGGTGCTGGTATTGGAACAGTCTTTGGCAGCCTTATCATTGGTTATGCCAGGTAATCATTTCTATCCCTAAATAAGTAAGTTTAAGAGCATGCTTGCAATAGTTGGAAACTTAGCTACTGAAATAATAGCTACTTTGCATTAAGTGCTTACTCTGTGTCTTGCATTACATTTAAACGGCTTTGTATGCATTATCTCAATTCTCATAACAGCATTTGGGGTATTATGAGAATAACACCTATGAAGGTCTAGAGACACAGAGGTCACATTACTTGCCCAGGTCATAGCTAGTAAATGTCAGAAAATGAATTTTAACTACATCTGACTTAAGAGTCTGCATTCCTAACTGTTAAACTATTTGGGGAATAAAGTTATTAGAGCACATTCCTTAAAAGAATCAATTTATTTTATTTAAGACCTAAACTGTCAGATCTTAAAAGGTATAGACCATATTTTCAGAGGGATAAGAATGTCAGAACCCATCAAAATGAATGAAAAGTAACCATTTATGTTGAGAGACAGCCCCCTACCTTTACACCATATCAGAATTGAGGAGACTAGTATAAGAGAGATCTAGGCAAATACTCTTCCAGCTGACTTTTCAGTTTACAAAAATCCCCACACTAGTAATCTGATTCTTTAACGTTTACCAAACATGTCGAAACTAATATTTCAAAGTAACAGTCATATGTGGTCTCTTTTAGAAACCCTTCGCTGAAGCAGCAGCTGTTCTCATATGCTATCCTGGGATTTGCCTTGTCTGAAGCTATGGGTCTCTTTTGTTTGATGGTTGCTTTCTTGATTTTGTTTGCCATGTAACAAATTACTGCTTGACATGTTGGCATTCTTATTAATTACGGATGTAATTCTGTGTATCTTACTGTGACTCCGAAAACTGTAGTATTGGTGTCATGGAAATGTACGTTATTTCCAAAGTCATTTCATTAAAGATGAAAACTTTAATTTCTTCTGTGATTTGTACTTACACTAAGGTTAGATTATCACAAAGAAGAATGTGCATTCAGACAGATGCTGTCCAATTCAGAGGAAGCTACAGCTGAAAATATCCCAATGTAATTTTTATCGGAATTCTTTTATATAGTGTTCTGCATATTGTAATTCATAGGGCTTTTGTTTATTCATATAAAGGATAAATATTCGGGTGTTTTGAGCTTCTATAAAATATGGTTAATTAAAGATAGTTAATACTCAAGATGGTCTTGTGTTTTTAAGGTCTAACATCAGTTAGAATACTTCAAATCAGAATCACCTTCCAGGTGGTTGGTTCTAAAAATAAATCACGTCAGCTTTTTAGGAAATGAAGCCTTAAGCTGGGAGGTAATGTGATTTTTGTTTTTCAGTAAGTCTCACATTAAGCAATTGTGTGCTTATAATGAATCTTCCATGTCTTTTCAGAACAGGTTCAGTCCAACTAGCAGCTAGTTTCTTACTTGAACAAGACTATTAAAAACCAAATATAAAAAAGTAGACTGAATTGGTTAGATTTTTACAGCCAAAAGTTGCTGTAAGGCAGCGTTTATCACTGTTGCTAACATGTTTATAGTGGGAGTCTTGGGGATGATAGCTGGTTCAAGAGTATTTTGCTGCTAATACTTTATGTTCCTTCTTGGTCAAACTTTTCCCATTCAAAGGAAGAAGGTGGTGCTACTATAGACAGTTTTTCCCCTAGCAAATGTATTGTACCATAATATCTATCATCCAAGTTTCAGGGTTTTTTGAAAGTTGATAATTAGGAAAGCGACATTTTACTTTTTTTAGTGCCCTTTGCCTGTTTGATTTCCATTGAGAATGAGCAGTCAGTTACCAAAGTTCCTCAAGTGTGGGAAGACTGCCTCCATCAGAATCAGTGCTCGTTGAAAAAATAAAAATCCCTAGGTTCCAGACCTACTGAATTGGACTCTTTGGACACGAGATTCAGCAATCTGCATCTTTAAAAAGGCTTCCCAGGTGATTTTTGTGCATACTGTTTGAGAATCACTAAGTTATACATACGCTACCTTCTATAAAGTGAAATGAGGCCCAAAAAAGCTAAAAAGGTAGAGCTGCTGCCACGTTTTTAGTTGATTCATCATCTAGTCTATATCACCCAAAAGAATTAGAAATAGGCATTCAGACAAAAACCTGTATACAAGTATTCATAGAAGCACTACTTACAAAAGCCAAAAGGTAGAAACAACCAAATGTCTATCAGCTGATGAATGGATAAGTAAAATACATCCATATAATGGAATATTCCGCCATGAAAATAAACGAGGCACTGATACATACTGAATAAATATAAGTGAACCCTAAAAACATGCTAAGTGGAAGAAGCCAGCCACATGATTCCATTTATATGAAATACCCCAAACAGGCAAATCCATAGTGACAAAGCCAATTAGTAGTTATCAGGAACTAGGGAGACAGGTGAAGAGGGAGTGGCCGCTTAATGCGCATGGGGATTCCTTTTAGGATTATGAAAATTGGATGAATTACGGCTGATCTGATGGCAGTGGGTTATCAGAACTTATTAACATGAGTGTCATTAAAGTTGGGATATAGCCCCTCACTGCTAAATCTGGCTTAAAAATTTTTTAAATTTTGATGAATTAGTGGTGATGGTTGCACAACATTGTAACTATACTATAATGTATGTCACTGAATTGTACACTTTAAGGTGGTTAAAATGGCAAATTTTCCATGTCTTACTGAAACTACTGTACTATGTAATACAAAGTACATAGTATAAAATTTTAAAAGTGATAGGAAAATGCTGAGATTAATAGTCATCTATTCCAAGTGTATTTTAAATAAAAACAGTCTTGGTAAAGACCTGTTCTTGGTGCTGGTTTTGGTGGTTGAAAAGGCTTGAAACATTCATTCAGAAACAGGTTTCTTGTAAGAGATGTCCCAGCTGAGGGAATCTCCCAGAATGAAAATGGACTAACTGAGCTGTGGCTGCATAGTCTTAAGGCTACTAAGAAAACAATAACAACAAAAAACCACACACAATGACTCAAACTTTATAGAGGGGAAAGGACATAGTGCATCAGAAGTTTTAACATCGTTGAGTATACATCCTTTTATTTAATTTTTATTTCTAGTAACAAAGTTATGACATTGAAAGTACATCACTGGAATGCATCTACTCCTAGCAGAAATGTTTATTGTGCACCATTTTTATAGGAAGTACTACCTCAGCTTATGAGCTTTGCAAACAAATATTAACGCTAAATGCTTTTTACTGACTTCTTTGTTTCTGAACAGAAGCTGATAAAGATACTATTTTTCTGTCAAAGATGAAATGGATTTTCTATGTTGATAAGATGATGTTGGTAAAATGGTGAATTAAATGAGTGGCAGTTAAGTGTTCAGATGTTCAGAGGGAGTAGAAATAATTTTATAGTTAAAGAATCACATGAAAAAGTACTATTTGTAATTTAAGACAAACCTTAACCATGTCACAAGGACAGACCAGAAGAAGAGGGCATCTTGGCTAGTGCAAAGCACGAGAAAAAGTAAATGAGCACAGCATTGGTACGTGAGAAACAAGGAGTTCCCTGAGTATGAAACAGAAATGGTGTGAGATAACGCTGTAAAGGAAGACTGGGGCCATTTTATGTAAACAGGCAGGTATAAGAGTGTGAGTTGTATTCATGTGCTACTGTCAGTCATTCAAAGTTTAGAGGTGTATTTTAGAAAGGTTGATAGGAGACTAGTGTGTGGGATGGACCGGAGCCAGCAATGAACAGCAGTCATACTATAGTAGCTTTGCTGAGATGTAATGAAGGCCTAGTCTAGGATGGTGGCAGTGAAGACAGTTGACCCCTGAACAACATCGGTTTGAACTGTGCAGGTCCACTGATACATAGACTTTTTTCAATATCTTGGAAAATTGTTTGAGGTTTGAAACAAATTGAAAAAACTCAGGCAAACCATGTAGCCTAGAAATAATCGAGAAAATTAACAAAATGATATGAATGCATAAAATATGTAGATACTGGTCTACTCCATTAACTGTCATAAAATATACATAAATCTATTACAAAAATTTAAATTTATCAAAACATGCACATAGCCTGTACATTGTACCATTTACACTTGAGAGAAATGTAAATGTAGAGATGGAGTAAACCATAACTGCATAAAATTAACTGAAGAACATACTGTACTACTGTAATAATTCAGCAGCCACCTCCTGTTGCTATTGTAGTGAGCTTAAGTGTTATGAGTATCCACTTAAAATGCTGTGATGCTCATCATGTCCGTGGGGCAGTTCATCTCCAATAAATTGTGTATCACCAAAAAAAGGTGATCTTTCGCACTTTTTGCCTTTTTTTTTTTTTTTTTTTTTTCTTGAGATGAAGTCTCGCTCTTGTCTCCCAGGCTGGAATGCAATGGCAGCTCACTGCCAACCTCCGCCTCCCGAATTCAAGCAATTCTTCTGCCTCAGCCTCCCGAGTAGCTGGGGATTACAGGCACCTGCCACTACACCCAGCTAATTTTTGTATTTTTAGTAGAGATGGGGTTTCACCACGTTGGTCAGGCTGGTTACCTCAGGTGATCTGCCTGCCTCAGCCTCCCAAAGTGCTGGGATTACAGGCGTGAGCCACCGCACTCGGCCAGTTCTTGCATATTTTTCACTGGGTTAGTGCAATATTATAAACCTTGAATAATACCATGGAACCTATACAGAGTACTACTAGTGATGCTAGAAGCAGTCCCACGACGCGAAGTCATGACATTGCAAGAAGTTGAATGGCTTGATATGCACCATAGATAGAAGAGGTCCGCAGCTGCAATTGTCACCATTTCAGACAATTCATCTTGTAAACAGATGGTGTAAACTTGTAAACTTAATGATATCGATAATAGTACTAGAAATGCATTTTCTCTTACGATTTTCTTAACATTTTCTTTTCTCCACCTTTATTGTAAGAATACAGTATGTAATGTATATAAAGTACAAAATTTATCAACTGTGTAATCAGTAAGGCTTCTGGTCAACAGTAGACTGTTAGTAAAGTTTGGAGGAACTCAAAAGCTATATGCAAATTTTTTATTGCATGGGAGACTGGTGGGGTGAATCAATGCCCCGAACCCCCAGCCTTATTCAAGGATCAACTGTATTTTAAAAACAATGCAAAGGTAGTATCAGTAGGATTTAATGCCTAGATCTCAGGAACCAGTTAGGAGATGAGAGGGTGTGTGCATCTAGTAAGTGCTAGCTATACTGTTATTTAACCCTTATAACAACCTGTAAACTTGGGAATAATTTCCAAGATGCAAAGGAAAATAGGCTCAGAGGTTAAACAGTTCCCAAAATCACACAGCCATTAAGTGGCAAAGTCAGGATCCAAATTCAGATCTTCCTTAAAGCCCATGTTCTGTTTTTTTTTTTGTTTTTTGTTTTGTTTTGTTTTTTTTTATGTGACTGTTAGTGACGACAGGGAAAAAGCTGATTTGGGGAAATGATGAACTTTGTTTTTTATATACTTTTAAATACAAGAGGTATAATTTTACAGATCTGGGCTTGAAGAGAGAAGAAAGGTATATACAGCACAGACTAGATGTGCATAAAAGAAATGCAGAGCAGCAGTAGGGACCCAGCTCCAGACAGGTAACAAATTGGTAGTGAACATCATTCACCTAGTTTTGTGACTCTCCAGCAATTTGGGAAGCTTGTTAATACAAACTGATGTAAAGAGCAGTGAGGGTTATCAGGGTTGTGCACTGGGAAGAAGAGATGATGGAAGGTCAAAGTGGCTCTAGGCAGACAGCAAACAAGCACACTGTTCAACAAGATGACCTATGCATTTCAGACCGAGTAAGGAACAAGGGAAGACACAATAAAGGTGATAAATTGAAATAACACAGAGGGGTCATTTATGGGAAGCCATGAAAGGTAGGAGTGGTACTATTTTTATTAACAACAATATTGTATAAAGAGCAGAATATAATGATGGCAATCCCTCTTTCTGGTGAGTCAGATGAGAGAGAGGTGGCATTAGCATCAAGAAAAAAAACGCCCTTAAATTCCATTCTCCCTCTCTCTGGACTGGTTTTGTTGAAGCTAGTATAAGCTAACTGGTATGATGTGAAGATAAACGACTTTTTTCCCCATAATTCCACACCCCAATAATTATAAATTATTTTGGGAAACCGAAGATTTGGGTTGGAGGGTAGACATCCCTGCACTTAGAATTTCCATGATGAGGACAAGTGCTGAGAGGTAACTTTAACATAGGCCGTTTCAGCAATGTGCAGGAAGACCCTGAACTGGCAGAGAGGAAAAGATCTGCCATGAGATAGAAGCTACCAAAATGTCTGTACAATGTCTGGGCCCACATTATCCTATTTCATCTCAGGTATCAGTGGGGTAATCATGTCCTGTGTCCCCCACCCCTTTCACATCACACACACACACCCCCCCCACCTTGATTCCACTGATAAAATCCCAGCTAATCCACTGTACTAGGCTGTATACTGAGAATATCATGAAAATGTACAGGCTCTTTCCCTAAGCCTAGGATTAGTTGTACCAAGCAGACATAAGGGGTGCCCTGTAGTCTTCTATGTTTTGGTTAGCTGCAGAAAAACAGAAACTGTGTTCTGTAAATTATTAGCGAGAGAGAGAAGGAGGGGAAGCTGAAAGGGAAGATGGAGAGAGAGATGGTTTGGCTGGGTCCCCACCCCAAATCTCATCTTGAATTGTAGTTCCCATAATCCCCACGTCATGGGAGGGACCAGGTGGGGAGACAATTGAATCATGGGGGTGGTTTCCCCATCCTATTCTCATGATAGTGAGTTAAGTTCTCAGAGATCTGATGGTTTTATAAGGGACTTCTCCGTTTGCTGGGCACTCATTCTTTTTGCTGCCGCCATGTGAAGGATATGTTTGCTTCCCCTTCCGCCATGATTGTGAGTTTCCTGAAGCCTCCCCAGCCATGCTGAACTGTGAATCAATTAAACCTCCTTCCTTTATAAATTACCCAGTTTCGGGTATATCTTTATTTGCAGCATGAGAACATATATATATACACACACACACACACACACACGTTTTAGAATTTTCGTGAGCAGTTTTAACAGATTATGGATCAACAGCCCTATCATACTAAGGTGGAAATACCACATTTATGTGGCATTTGGAAGATTTTGAGGGTGTTTAGAGACCATCATTGATTCTTATGATATTTAGTTATTAACACTTCCATAACAGAAATGCATTTTCTTCAAATAGCCTCATTTTGTATCTAAGGAATATTAGTTTTATTTAGCAGTCATGCTGGGTTCTTAAAGGGGATTCACTAGACTCTCACTAATTCTCTTAGAACTAAGTTTTGGGTAGGTGCATTATGGAACAAGACAGGTAAAGAAGAGGTCTACAGTAAGTTTCCTGCATTTGTAAAGAGAAGACTAAAGAATTTTAGGACCCTTGGGGATACTGAGGAATGCAGAAGTGAGAACAAAAATGGAAAATGATGGCATTTTATGAGGATATGAATAAGTAGTGAGACAAGTTCATGGAATCAGACCTGAATATGGTAACTACATTCATTTTGACAATGCTGAATGTCTTCCCCACTTGTAGAAAAACTATAGTAAACAAACTGCTGTGGAACTAGAAATATGTGGATAAAGTGAGACCCTTTGTTAAACGCCAGGCTGCCAAAATGCATATATAATAGACTGGCATAGTTTCCACCTATTTCCCGCCCCCTATCTTGTTTATTTTTTTTTCTCACTTTAGGTATACCTTCTCTTTAGAAAATTAGCTGAAACTGAATTATCAAAACAGATCAGAGTACTGTTCATATCACTAGTTCT